GATTTTGACGAGTAATGCCATCTTCATGTTGAGGCTCAAAACTTTTTAAACGACCCTCATATTACATATCAATGTTATCTTCATTTATCATAGCCTATCCAACTGTTTATTGCTGATTTAATTTTAAATCACTTTATATCAAAAGCAAAATGAAATAATGAAATAATACGAGATTTTAACTATTTACGTGGAACATGTAATATTGCGGGATATCTCGTAAAAGCCGTGTATTTTATATTTTATATTTTAATGGTATCCGATTCAAATTTAACTTAATTAAGGCGACCATGTCGCCTCAATTAAATACACAGTTGATTTCTCATCAAAATAAGATTATCGAATCGCGTCACAAAGTAAAACAAAACTTTATTATAAAGTTTTCTTGTTTTCATTATAAATGCCCCTTTCCTTTTCTCTTATTTTCTGATACATTTTTAAAATGTAGGACGCGATCTAAGACTACAAAATCCTCGCATTTATAAGCATGAGATTCTGAGCATTGAGATTAGTAGCTCTGATTTATAGATTCTCGAAGATTCTTTGATTGCGAGTTAAAGAACTGTCATAGATTTCAAAGTTTTTAAGCCATCAGATTATTACATAGTTTCATAAATGGCAAATTTCTTTCGCGAGAACCATTGCGCGTCCAGATATAATAAACGTCTTTTATGACCGAGGTTCGCAAACGCGCTATCGTTCATAGCTCATAGCTAGAACCGCCTTTTACGCGGCAATAAACGTCACACGTCTCATTGCGGGCCTTTAAGGGTAACCAAGTCACCCGCGAATTTTCGCAGTCTGTAGAGCGTTGATCGGTCCAACACCGTTTATCGGAAAGAGATTCGTCGGTGTCGATTGAAGCTGACGCGCGATCGGCGTTGCGCCTGCATGGGAGAAGATCGATACCGGTGCGATGCGGGCACGCCGCGGAAATTAAGCGTTCTCGCACAGTCAATTTGTGGCTCCATTTAGGATCTCATTGCGACGGCCGACATCTGGACTGAGGCGAAGCGAAAAACCCGAGTGGATTTAAATAAAGTCGGTTCTGTTACCCGTACGGAATAAAATGGAGAGTTCGTTCGTTCGAGCGGCCAAGAACGATCCCGAAAAAGACACACGTGCAATTTCCGTCGATATGCAGGTCGTCGTGAAACCACAGGACATCTTTTAACGACAGATAGGAGACAAGCTGAAGAAAATACGATTGTTTTAACCCTTTAATGAATTGCAATTGCTAAATCGACCGTTGCACAGAAAATCCAACAAAAACAGTGAATAGACAACGACTGAAAATTTAATTTTCAAAGTAAAAGATTAATAGCTTTTTAGCTGAAAACAAATTCACATGGAACTCTAAAAATCTGTGTTATTTTATAAAGAATAATAAGACATTAATGCTTGCGAAAACATTAAATGAAATTAAAAGTTTCAGTTTTAAACAATCAAAAGTTGTTAAAAAAGTTTGCAATACATCGTTGTTCTTAATAGCTTTTTGACAAGAAAATGAATTCACGTAGAACCCTAAATATTAGTGCTTTATAAGGAATTAATAAGATGGGAAGTTAATATTTGCAAAATTAGATGCAAAATTGACAGTTTCAATTTTAAACAAAAGTAGTATAAAATACATATACATATTATTGTTTTGCAGAATGTTAAAAAGGAGCCGGTTCTGCCCCAAAAGATGTAAGTAAAAAGAATAGTATTTTTTGTAGATTTTGACCTCCTGGATACTATAAAGTTCGCGTGGGAGGTATATTTAGAGAACACCTCCTAAATTAAACAAAAACATGAAAATTTGAATGTTCTTGTTCTATTTTTCAAGATTTCTTTCTATTTATACAACTTATTCAGGCGAAGATCAAAATATATTTATAAAAAAACAGTATTCCTTTTATAATACACCCCCATTTAGACAGAATCAGCTCCTTTTTAACATCCTTCTTTAAATATGCCCGTTTCTACCCCCCAATAGTTTTAACTTTAATTTTATTTCAACTAATTTTTCATCTTTTTCTAGTTCTAAAAATTAGAAAAAGATAAAAAGTATTATAATTTGAACTGAGATTAAAGTTAATCTACATTGGTAGAAATGAGCATTAATTTTCAATCCATGTATTAAAACTTAAATATAATAATCAGTTGGAAAGTTTTCGCTGCGGATAACTGTAAATTGTCTATAACTGACAATAAGAGAACATCGAGAACAAATACTGTATGGATTGAACGACGTGTGTTCCGGAAAGAAGGCCGCATCGCGATCGCAAAGAACCATCGGTGGCGAACATGGAAGAAAGGGGAGAATGAAATAGCGCGCACTGAGCGATTATAAAGTTTCTTCGTTCCCGAATGAGAGGACCTGCACGCGCGTTCCAGAAATAACCCCGTGAAATTACTCGGTGCTGGTCCATGCAGCAGCCACGGGGCTCGGCATCAACGCGGCGAGTTAGTTTCCCGTCCAACCTCTCCTATTCTTCACCTTTCTCTTCCCGCTTTTGTTACCCCGAGGAGCTTCGCGGCAGAAATGGCGGAATTGCAAAATAGCCAAACGATAACCGTACTGTAAGAGCGCGGTCGGTAATCCTCGTTCGCCGGGGTATCGAGAAACCGCTGTAGGACGACCTGAGTATAAATATTCATTCGCGGAAGAGATAAACGTCCCTGTCCAACGGTTTGCACCATTTCGTGCAACCTTACAGCGTGAACGAATGCGAAACAGAGGTCGCGTAAACAATTAGTAGATACGCGATTCCCTCTTCGCGTGAAAGACGTGCTGTTGCAACTACTAAACGTAGCTTTTACTCAAAAAACGCAGTACACGTCGATACGCTAAGTACACGCTAAAGTCAGAATACAGCGAATGGCTGATATCTGCTGGCCACGTTCGTTTTATTGTCTTGTAAAACACGCTATCTCTTTATTTCACGCGAGTTTTCACATCTGGATTAAAGAGTTAAAACATACTCTGAGAGAAAAACTTTTTGATATTTATAATTATAATTACATATTACTATAATTATGATTTTCGGTTGCTAATTATATACGTATTGGTTGATAGAATACATATAGTTATTATTATTGATACTATAATAGTCATAACTATAATTATAGTAATATGTAATTATATGTTAATATGTAATTAGTTACAATATCAAAAAGTTTTTCTCTCAGTGCACCGGAGAAATAGATAAAGTCAGGACAATCAATGGCTAATATTTATTCGCGTTTATTATTCCTTTGATCATAGTCCTTATTTTTAACGCGTACAAGATAACACAAAGTCTTATGTTTATCAAATCATTAATAATACGTATATTAGAAAAAAAAACAAAATTTTTAGAATGTTAGTTATATTTTATCAAATATCAAAAATACTTAATAATTAATACACTGAGAAAAAATATTCATTTGACTAAATCTTTATTCATCTTTATTTCTTTCGATGAAAAATGTGTGTGTGTGTGTGTGTATGATGCATTTAAGTCAAAGATATTATATTTGACTTAAGTATATATATTCTCCAACAAAAGAAATAAAGACAACTAAATTAATTTATCAAATGAATAATTTTTTTCTCGGTGCTTCAAAAATGATCACCTTCAGCTTTGATGCAAGCTTTAAGACACTTCGGGAACATATCAACATATTGATATGTTGTCTGCGTTTTTTCACATTAAATTTTCCCAGAAAGTCAATAGAGCGGCCTTTAGTTCATCATCCGATGAAAATCTTTTGGCTCACACTATTTTTGGTATTTAATAAGATGTAACTAACACTTTAATTTTGTTTAATACGTTACTACTCAGGTAGCAAGCTGATGTCTTTAATGTCATTTTAACGTGAAAATAATGGCAAATAACGTCACCTTGCTACTTGAGTAATAATTTGATAAATACACAAAATTTTGTCACATAAACCTTTTTGTCACTCTATATATAATAATATTTATTATACTATACATAATGTTTAATAAGAATTATTAATATATTCTGTAAAATTAAAAAAAAACGAAAAAAACTCGAATGTTTGATGGCGACGATGTCTTTAATGTCATTTTAATGGAAAAATGATAAATAACATCAGTTCGTAACTTGAGTAATGATTTGACAAACGTACAAAACTTTATGGCCAAACTTTCTATCACCCTGTTTTGCCACTCAGAATTACGAAAGGTATTTTTTCAAACGAATAATTCTATCGAAAATCTGTATAATATATATAACGTATTCTTATGAAATAATAATTTCCAATTACAACCAATTTATACATATAGATTATTCTATGTCTACGAATCAATCAGCATAACATCGAAAAGTTCACTTATTATATTGTAATTAGTATAAATTATTAGATTATAATTAGTATAATGTATTATTGTCTGTATAACCAATTAAAGCATCGACAACAATGATGGACCAAATCTAATCGAATCGATAATTGATTGCGACTTTATTTTAAGTAATCAATGGTCTATAATTTATAATAAAATACTAATCAATATCTGATTATTATCGAACAATAAATCATAAAAATAATATCAATCACAGTCACAGTTAAATTATCTCCGTCATTCAAATAATTATATTTTTATTACAATTTTGATTGAATAAATTAACATATGTTACACTACTGAAACGATTCTAATATAATAACTTCACAATAACTTCGTTTTATTTTATAATTATTAGATAATGATTAATGAGCAATGATGACAGACCGTCAATTCATATTTATGCATTATTTAATGAATTTTAATCATGATTACTTAATTACTGATTCCAAATTATTTCATTAATCTAATTGGAGTAACAATTAATTGTATTGTCGCACAATTTCGTCATAGTGTGAAACAATTTCAATTCAAATCGCAATCAAGAGAAACAATTTATCACCGATAAAATCGTGTCATTATAAGCATTATAACGATGGCGAGGTCGCGAAATATTGAAGCAGGTGTCTAAGAGATGTCAACAAGTATCCTTCTTCACGTAGCTACTTACCGAGCTTAGCTTTCATGTCCGCCTTGTCCGCCGCCTTCCTACCAGGCTTGCGTCCCCTCTTGCCCCCCTCTTTCCGATCACCGCGAGATCCCTCCTGCAAATTAAAAAATATGGTGGTTAATTGCGGGAAAATTTATCATATTATAAATATTAACTCTTCACCTGAAATTATATTTTTATTTTCCCTCTGTTTGCAATATGAATCTTTTTCGATACAAGTCAAATGTCACTCTTAAATTTCACTCTCATTTTTTTTATTCATATTTTTCAATTTTTATTAAATAGAGATTTTAACATTTTAATTAAAAATTATTTGGTAATGCAATTTTTTTTAAATCAAGAACAGTTATAATGCAATTTTTTTGTTCAGTCCAAGATTTTTACTATTCTAGATTTTCAAAAAAAATTCAGGGTTACTTTTCAACATGTTTATTAGTTATTACATTACCAAATAGTTTTTGATATGAATGTTAAAACCTTTATTTGAAGACCGAAGCTTTCTAACAAAGTAACTTGCGAAAGATTTTGTTTTCTGCAGGCTTTCGAAGTCACTAAATTCGATTTGGCTCAGAATTTTAAAATTCAAATTTCAAAAAATGATCATCGTGAAACTCGGTTTTAGTACAGTCGTGGTATCTAAATGTAATTTCTGAATGTAAAATCTGAAAATATCGAATTTCAAGAAGATAACCTTTACGAAGGAGAAGTCACAAGATTTACAATCAAAATTTGAAAGTCAGTTTGAAAATCAGTATTAACTGTTTGGCGTAGCTTTGATAAGCTTCAAATAAAGCAAAAATACATTGTTAAAAATTTCATGAAATTTAATATAGAGGAAGGTCACCGATACTGACATAAGTCTCCTAAAGCGACATCCCCTTATTTCTTAGAAACTAACCCTTACACCTTATTAATATTAATAAAAACGTGATTTGTTTAGCTAATTAAAGAAGTACATAATTCATATATTTGTGGCTTATTTTTATACCAAATCAGCTAAAAACAAATTCTATGAATCCGAGAAAAAAATTCTTACGGTATTCTTTTGCAAATTGCATAATTAAAATAATAGTGACTGTATTATTGATAATATTATGTGACTTTAAATGTTTATAATTTAATACAAACAGTATTATAAAAACTGCTTATATTATTTGATAGAAGATACTTTTTAGTTTGTATTTATGTTTATAAAGTTGTATTTTTACCTTTTGTTTAAGTAATATTGTCTAAAAACAAAGTGGTATGTCGGTATCGGTGACCTACTTTTAAGTTACACAAGTAACATCAAATTAAGTTTGAATTTAATTTCATGATATTACATTAAATTTAATGTGTTTAGGGGAAAGTTGCCGAATGCGTACCACTTAACCTATTTTTTATTATATTTTCCATTTGGCACTGTTTTGTATGCAAATAAACATTAGAAATTATAGCTTGAGGTTTTGGACGCTGATTATTACATGTTTAACTTTCCACCAATAACAAATTAATTTGTTATAAATCTTTTTGTAACATGCTGCAAAAGGTACGATTTAGGCAACCGGTCGCCTAAATCGTACCTATAGGTATTTTTTACTGTATTTTCTTTGAAAGTATTGAATTTATGAATAAAAACAGTTAAAAATATAAGATTAATAACAGAAATCATTAACTAATAATTAATTAATACCTAATTTTAATAATTTATTGAAGAAAATTAAATATTATAATTATTAAATAACAATAATAAAAAAAAACAAATGACACCAAAAAAAATTTGCTTAATTTATTTGTGCACTTAATGTTTATATTGATATCAATTATTAGTTTTATTATTGTCAGTTATCAGCCTGATCTTTTGATGGTACGATTTAGGAAACTTGATGAATTTTGTAAAAATATCGATTTAATCTTTACAATAGTTGCAAATATGTATATACA